CGGGAGACAGGGAGGCTGCGAGGAGCCCGCGCGGGCCTCAGTTTCCCCCGGCAGCGTGGGCCACGCGGCTCTGTCCTGAGACTGCAGGGCGAGACTTGGGTCGTGGGAGAATTGGGAGGTGGCCGAAGGCAGAACGAAGAGGACACGGGGGACGGCGGGGCACGGGGGCATGGGGGCGAGGGCTGGCTGCTCCCGATCGCGGCGTTCCCTGGACTCGGCCCAGCCCGGAGACCTGTCCCGCTGCGGCCCGTCCTGCGCATATTTTTAAGCCAGTGGTGCATGAGTCACTGCCCGCGCCGGGCCCTTCCTGGCGCTGGGGCAGGGTGGGGGAACCCCTGCATGCAGGGCAGGGAGAGTGATGGGGGCTTCTCCCCATCCTGGGCCCATGGGGTGAGCCCATCAGGCAGGTCCGCCGGCGGGGAGCACTTCCTGGGCATCTGAGCCCAGAAGCAGAGCCGGAGCCAGGAAGCCCCAGCTGGGGTCCCGTCTAGGTCGGGAGGAAGGCCCAGGGCTGCAGCTGGCCTGTACCAGAAGGTGGGCTGGCAAGGGCACCTGGGCATCCAGCCTGTGCCCTCTTGTGTTCCTGGTTCCCAGCCTGGACCTGCCCCTTTGCAAGGGAGTGTACCCCAGAGCCAAGAGGGTAGGGCAGGACTCCTCCGCCTGAGGGGGCACACCCAGCTGACCACCACTGCCCTGGCCCCTGTGTGAGGCGGGCCAGATCCTGGCAATCCCTCCCTCCTTGCCCCTCCCCTACCCAGGCCTCTCCCAGGCCCTGCTTCCTGGCCCTCCACCTGCCCTTCCCAGACTTATCTCCCTGCCGCCAGGAAGGGGCTCCCCCTAAACCGTAGCTCCCAGGGCAATTCACAGCCAGGGCCCGAGGGGGGCCCCCATCCCAGGGCCCCACCCACCTCTGGCAGGATGGCCAGGTGCCCCTGTGACTAAGCTGACCCCTCCCCAAGGTCACTCAGTGGTGGAGCTGGAATTTGAACTTGGAGCCGGTCCCTCCTCCTTGGCCTCCTAGCCTCCACTGCCTGACCAACTGGGCATCATGCTCAACCCTCTCCCAACCCGGAAAGTGATTGTGGCCCAGCCAAAGTGCAGTTTTGGGCCCGGAGGGCCCTGGGGCCGGGGTCCTATGGCTCCTCTCAGTACTGAGTAGATGGCCCCCCACCCAGCAGGCTGAAGAAGCCCCTAGCACAGGGCGGCCCCCAGGCGGGATGTCGTCCCTTCCCCCGTCCTCCACAGGGCAGTACTGACACCTGGTCCCCTCCCCGCCCCGCAAGGTACCCCCAGCCGCAGGGAAGCAGAGTTCCCCCCCTGGGCTCCGGCTCTGCAGGGGGAGGGGCCGCGTGTCCCAGCCTGCACAGGTCTCTGTGCCCGCAGGCCCGGTCTGCGAGGGCGCGTGTGTCACCCAGGTGTGTGTACCTGGACACACGTGCCCGCTGCCCTTGCTAGGCCGGCCAGGAATCCCACTGAGCAAACACTCCAACCTACCCACTGAGGTCACAGACATTCCGGGCATTCTCCACGGATGGGTGGACAGGGGAACCGGCCGAGCCCCCGCCAGCAGGCCAGGACCCCTAGTGGCAGGTGGGAGGGATGCAGCAGTGGCTGGGCAGGGCAATGGCCCACGGTCCCCAGGCCCCTGACGCCTCCTGGAACCCTCCCTCTAGGCAGCACCTGGTCAAACCAGAAAGTCCTGCGGTGTGCCAGGCCTTCACCCGCACCCTCCACCATCCGCACCAGCACCCCTGGCTGGCGACCCCCACCCTGGCAGACCCCACAGAGGGTCAGCCTGGCCGGTGACGTTGGCAGGAGGTAGATCGAGGATCCCTGCAGGCCCCCACAGGGACAGCTGCTGCCTGCCGTCTGGGACACGGGCACCCTGGCAGTGCAGGTCCCTCAGAACAAGCTAGCTGGGCAGGGCGCGGCTCCACTCACCTCCAGGGAAGGCCCCGGGGGCCGGCTCGGGTCAGACACATCCACTCCAGCAGTTTCCCCAGATTCAGCTTGGCAGCGGGCAGGGCTACCCCGCTCAGGAGGCTTGGTGCGGAGACCACCTGTATCCGGGGCAGGGAGTGGCAACGGGGCCTTCTTGCCCTCCTCGGGACTGACCCTGGAGGTAAGCCCAGCAGGCTCTGGGGCGCTCCGCTGGGAGAGGCCTTGCCCAGCAGGGTGATCACCCCGGGTCTACACAGCGGGGCCGGGCAGCAGCCACCCTCTCTGGGTAGCCACTCCCCGTCAGGGTGGCAGTGGTGCCAGGTGGTGAAGCCTCTGGGGAAGGCCTTCAGTCTCAGGGAACCTCCCTTAGCCCCTGCCCACACCCACCCTCTCCAGGCTGCCCCTCACCCTGGCCCCTGCTGCCCATGGTCCTGCTGTGGGCCACCGCAGCCATCTCCCTCCCTTTAGGGTGAGGAGATGCCTCAGCCCCAGCCTACCTTCAGGCGCCCAGGACCCAGCTTCCTGGCCCACAGTTCAGGCCTCCCAGACTCAGGAGGGGCCAAGGGCATGTGTGGGCCGCAGAAGCCCCTTGGGTACAAGTCTCATGGGGCAGTGTGAGGCCTGGGGTCTCTCCTGCCATCCTCCCCTGGCCTCAGGGCCTTTGCACGTGCTTGGACCAGAGCCTCCCAGCCAGCCTGTGGGAGGCCAGGAGTCTGGGGTGCTGCAGGCCCTCAGTGACCACCAGTGGGGACACTGGGCAGGGAGCTCTGCTCCCTGACAGCCCCCAGCTCAGGCACCCTGAGGAGTCTGGACAGGTCAGTTGGGGCTCCAATCCTTGGATCTGGGGTTGGGGGAAGAGAGGACCCAGGCCCTGCCCTGGAGAAGAGAGGTCTCAGGTGGCCAAGTGGAGAACCAGCTTGACTGTCTGCTCAGGTGTGGGCCAGGCACTGCACCCCAGACTCGGGCCACACTGAGGTCTGCCCTCCCACTGGCCAGCACCGAGGACACCATGAGCCAGCAAGGGTCCCTGAGTTGCTGCCCGGGTGCCACCAAGTAAGCGCCACCCCTTTGCCCACCCCACCCTCCCCTTCACCTGCCCGTTGCTGGGTGCAGCACGGGCCTCCCCTCACCAGTCCTCCCCTGCAGCGGCAGCCTGGGCCGGTCGGACGGTGTGACCAAGTTGAGCGCCAAGGACCTTTTTGGTGAGTGCAGCTTGAGGACAGGTTGGACTGGGGGGGGGGCAGCACCTCCTTGCCAGGGCCTCACTGCCCAGAGGAGGCTCTGACCCAGCTCAGTACTGGGTGCCCAGAGGTTTCTGGGCCTGATTGACCCAGCAGCTGTGTAGTCCCCTCCCTGGTGCTCCCAGCCACTGAGCACCTGCCTCCCCCTCACTTTGCTAATAATTCAGAGAGCATCAATATTGATTCACTGTGCTCCTCACTGCAACCCGATCGCTCAGGGGGGCGGGGGTTCAGGTGTCTGTCCAGGTCCGGGGCTTGGCATGCCCCACCCCCAACTGCCCCACCCCCCAGGCACACCCTCCCTCTCCTGCTCAGTCCCTCCTCATTCCTTGCCTGTGGACTTGGTACCTTGTCTGGAAAGCCAGACGCCCCCAGGGGGAGCAGAGCGGTTGTAGCTGACTGCTCTTAGCCTCCGAGGAAGCCCCTGCCAGATCACCCCCAGAAAAGTGGGCACAGGATTCGGGCATGTCCCTGAGTGGAGGCTGAACCTCCTGTACCCCCAGCACTGAGGATGGGAGCCCCAGGCATGGGCTGCCTCGTCACCACTCTGCAGACCCCTTGCCTTCTCTGAGCCACAGTCTTTCCCCACCAGCTTCACTGCTGGGGATGCTGTCTGGGGTTGGTGGCCGTGGGGGGCCCACAGAGCAGCACCCCCGGACGCCACCCTTCCTCATGGCCCCAGTTAGGGGTGTGGTCCACCTGGACCAAGGGCTGCAGGCCCTGCCCGCCAGGAGTGACCGTGTCTCCCTACTCAGAACAGAGAAAGAAGTACTCCAACTCCAACGTCATCATGCACGAGACCTCCCAGTACCACGTCCAGGTGAGACTCGGCCTCCTCACGCCCTGTCCGCTGTGCTCCAGGCGTCTGGGCGGCTGGGGAAGGGGCCAGGGAAGAGCCGGAGCCGCTGACCGCCCACGCCTGCCCTGGGCTCGGCCACGGTGGGAGAGTGCTCCCTCCAGACCTGGGTGGCCTTACCCTGGGGGGTGATGCCAGTGGCTGACAGCCCAAGGTGTGCTGAGCCCTCGATGGGAAGAACCGGTGGGGAGGAGATTGTCATCCTGGCCCCAAAACCAGGGACAGGATTAGGAGGGAGAGGTATAACAAAGATCCTTGATGGAGCTATGCAGAGGCCGATGCCGAGGGAGGCGAGGCAGGCTCCTGTGCTCTGCAGACCAGTGGCCAGCTCGGGGTCTCTAGGCCCATTTCACTCACTGGAACTCAGGAAACTGAGAGGTTTTTTGCCATGGGGCGCATGCGCTCACCAGAAAAGAGAGACAGAAAACGAGAAATCACCCCCTGGGGGGTGGCTATGCCGCCATCCTTTCTCCTCCATTCGCCTCTTGGGATCTTGGGCACAAACGCACACACTCCCAGTGTGAGTTTAAGTCACTGGGTCTGGGACTCGAACTGCTGTCGACTGCATGGGATTCCAGTGACATAGCCATTACGCTAACTGCTGGTCCCAGGAAACTTTTTTTTTTTTGAGAGAGAGGTTTTTGCTATAGGGCAAGTGCGCTCGCCAGAAAGACAGAGATAGACAGAGATAGAAAGCGAGAAATCACCTCCCAGGGGAGATGGCCACGCCGCAATCCCTTCTCCTCCATTCTCCTCTCGGGATCTTGGGCACGCACGCACACGCGCCCGGTGTGAGTTTTAGGCTGCCAGGTCCAGGACTCGAACCACGGTTGACTATGTGGGAGTCCAGTGATGTAACCATTATGCCACCTGCTGGTCCCGGAAACTTTTTTCGTGACCTTTCTGTGCCTGGGAGTTGATCGGGCTCTTGGCCATGGTCCAAACATGGAGGCTGACAGGTCCAAGAGGGGGAAGGAAGGCGAAGGGACCCTGGCCAGGGGCATCCTACACGGCCGCCGCTGACTTCCACTGCCGTCGCTGTGCCCACTGGACTCCCTGGCTGTCTCCCCAGCCCCGGGGGCACCAGCAGATGGGAGGTGGCTGTTCTCTCGGGCTAATCTGTGTCCGGAGGATGGACTCCGGAACTGCTAGGAGTCCATCCTCCGGACACAGAATTGGGCTTCCGAGCCAGGCGGTACTGGGAAACAGGCGCCCTCCCCTCCGGCCTGGGCAGGCAGTGGTTACTGCAGGCTCAGCATCTGAGGGCAGGCGCAGGGTGGACGGGTCAGTTCCGATCGCTTCCTTCCGGGCAGTCGGCCGCCGTTCCCAGGGCTGGGACTTTGCCCTCTGTGAAAAGCCACCTGGAGCCTCCCAGCGTGACTCCTGGACTTTGGTCTAAGCTGGGCTGGCTTGGCAGGACTGGCTGTCATGGGGGCCTTTCCAGCCTGCCTAGCGACCAGCAGGGTGGGGAACGTGGTGGGGTTTTCCTGCCCCTCCCAGAGGAGGAATTGGAGGCCTGGAGAGAGGGGGTGCCAGCCCAGCCTGGTTGAGGCAGAGTCAGCCCCAGTCTGAGGACAGGGCCGCCGAGCCCGTGTGCATGTGCTTATTTGTTTACGTTTATACATCCCCACGCGCGAAGTCCACAACGAGCAGGGGGCTGGTACAGGTCCTTACCAGAGGCAGGACACAGGCAGCCCGTCACCAAAACGCATTCCACCGCCCCTTGGTGGTTGCAGCCTCCGCCACCCCGACCCCAGCTTCTGGTGACGCTCTCTGACCTCCCTCGCTACGGTCTCGTCTTCCTGAGACTGTCCGAGAAACGCCATCATAGAGTTTGCAGAGGCGTCTCTGCTCTTCTGCTTCCTAAACTTAAGGACACACTGTGGGCCCAGCTGGTAGTGTGCACTGGATTCCCCGACGGCCGACCACAGTTCGCGTCCTGCACATAGTGGGTCGAAAATCACGCCAGGCACACGTGCATGCATGTCCCACATCCCAAGAACAGAGAAGGACTTGTGGCGTGGCCATCCCTTCTGGGGGATGATTTCTCACTTTCCCTTTCCCTCTCTCCCTCTCTCTAGTGAGCGTGCACACCCTATAGCAAAAAAAAAAAAAAAAAAAAAAAAAAAAAAGGGA